CTCCTCTCCTCCTTCACTATATAAGGTCAGGTAGATGGATGTGCATGTGTAGATACACACACACACCACACACATACACACACACCACACAGAGATACGCAGCCCGGCTCAGTGAGAACCTCATAAAGAGTAACTGCCATTCTCACAACCTCCCAGAGACCTGTAGAAGAGCAGCAGGCTGGGCCCCTGGGGAGCAGAGGCATCTCTAAATCCTGCCTGTACAGCCAGCTCCCCCTGTGAGGAGCAGAGGGGGCCCTGCTGGGGGGGGGGGCCAAAGGCAGGATGGGGTGCTTCCTCTTACAGACCCCACCCTTCAGAGATCAGGTTTCAAGGGCAAAAAGAGCTGCAGTCATGCTTTTGCAGGACTGAGAAAGACTGGGGTTTGAATTTCTCCTCCTGAGAGCAGGTGTGTGTGTGTGTGTGTGTGTGTGTGTCTGCAAAGATCTGCCGTCTGCTCCCGGCACCTGCTCCCCCAGGTCCCTCTCACCCCCTCCACCTCTGCTCCCCAGGTGCCTTCCACAGGCTCAAGAGTCATCTCTGAGCCCTCTCCCTACCTGCTAGACCACCTGGCCCCCTCAGCTGGCTGAGGGCTACTGTGCACGTGGGCCCCCCAGGAACTGTACCTTTGTGCTACAGAAAAAAGAGTGGCAGGGATAAGCTGTTGCTCCCCTGCTCTGTGGAACACTCAGGAGGCCCCAGCCTGAGCCATACCAGGGCCACATGTGGTCAAGGGCACCGCATGTGGGAATGGAAGGACCAGAGCCCAAATCCTGGAACCTCACTCACTCACCAGGTGTCAACAGGCAAAGCCCTGGGCCTCTCTCAGCCCCAGCCCCTCATCTGGGACACAGGGGTAGCACATCTTCTCCCCATCCCCTAGAGTCAAGTCAAGGATAAACGAGGCCAAGGAACTAAAAGCATTTGCTTAGCTACAAAAGGTCTCAGCAGCATAAGGGATTATCGTGTTCATTATTATTTTTTTTTTTTTGAGACGGAGCCTCAAGCTATCCCCTGGGTAGAGTGCTATGGCATCACGCTCACAGCCACCTCCAACTCCTGGGCTCAAGCGAGTCTCCTGCCTCAGCCTCCCAAGTAGCTGGGACTACAGGCGCCCACCACAACATCTGGCCATTTTTTTGGTTGCAGCCATCATTGTTTTTTGGCAGGCCCGGGCTGGGGATTCGAACCTGCCACCTTAGGTGTATGTGACTGGCGCCTTAGCCGCTTGAGCCACAGGCGCCGAGCCTTATCATGTTCATTATTAAGGTAGAGACTGGTTTTCATGGGAATCAGAGAAAAACTGGAAAGAACTTAAGTCTCTGGGTTAGACCAACCTGCACGCACAGCAGTCTGTGTCTGCTTTCTCTGAGAATGAAAGGAGCACTCAATAGAATTAGCTGTTAACACTGTTACCACCTCTCCTGCTACCTGCACAATCTTAGCAAGTCCCTTGATGTTATCTTATCTGAGCGATGCAAGAAACTCTAGGGTTGCTGGGAGGACTACAGGAGAGAAAGCTTGGGAAGCCAACACAGGGCGAAGCTGGTTCTCCCAGATGGGACACGGAGGGTCCTGTTAAGAATGAGCAACAAGCCCCCTTCAGAGGTATCAGCAAAGATCCCACTGTGTTCCAGGTGGAGCCTCGGCAGCACCTTCCTCGCCCTAGGCCCCTGCCCACTTGGTAAATTCCCCTCCTTGCGTTCTCAGTTAATCTTTTAATCCTTGCTGATTTTAATCCACCCACCCAAGAAGAAGTTTGGCCCAGAAGCCCTCCCAACCCCCAGGCAGGGTTATTGTTCTGGTCTCAGGGATCCAGACTCTTTGTTTACTCCTCAGATCCGCTAAACACTTAATTCTTGGCTGGGTGTGTTAGCCTCTTGGGAGGCCAAGGTGGGAGGATTGGTTGAGGACAGGAGGAGTTTAAGACTAGCCTGAAGGCTCATGCCTGTAATTCTAGGACTCTGGGAGGCCGAGGAGGGTGAATAGCTTGAGCTCAGGAGTTCCAGACAAGCCTGAGCAAAAGCTCGCTAAAGGTGGCGCCCCAAACAGGGACCAGAGTACAGGGCAGTAGT